AGAGAGAGAGAGAGAGAGAGAAAGAGAGAGAGAGAGAGAGAGAGAGAGAGAATGAGAGAAAGTTCTGGTATGGCACTGTGGGCTAATGCCTCAGACTGCAAAGTTGTTTGAGCTGCAAGGTTGGTGGTTCAAGCTTACCAGCTGCTCCTTGGAAACCCTATACAGGGTTGCTGTGGGTTGGAACCAACTTGAAAGCACTTAACAATAACAACAAATATATACATATATATATGTGTGTGTGTGTGTGTGTGTGTGTGTATGTGTATAATGAGGTATATATTACATATATTATATATTTCATTATAATATATTATCATATATCAACTACTGGTGTGGCACTGTTGGATCATCGCTGGACTACGAAGCACAAAGTTGGCAGTTCAAACACACCAGTTGCTCCTCAGAAACCCTACATTCGGTCACTATGAGTTAGTATCAACTCAACAGCACTTAATTGCAACTATCTATATCTATATCTATATCTATATCTATATCTATATCTATATCTATATCTATATCTATATCTATATATGGAGCTCTGGTAACATAGTGGTTACGAATCGGGCTGCGAACCTTAAGGTCAGTGGTTTGAAACTACCAGCCGCTCCGCGGGAGAAAGATGAGGCTTTCTACTCCCGTAAAGATTTACAATATATATATATATATGTATGTATATACACCACTAAATTCTTGACCCTTTATGAGGTGTTCTACTTTTTGTAATGTTGAACTTCTCAAGCCTATGATCTGCTACTTTTACATCCTACACATCCTCTTCCATTCTTATTTCTGGACAAATGACTTCTGCATTGACTGTTCTAATGAATTTACTCTTTCAGAAATAATCAAATACCTCCTTGTAAATAAACAAGTCTTTTCTCTATTTCATCTTCCTCATAGAAGTAATATGACCTCAGAACATATGTCAGCATATGACCTTTTTGGTGTTCTGTTCTTTGAATGATGTCTTCCACAGATTTCCAAGCAAATTGCTTCTTGCCCTACTTTTTTGCTCATTACAGCCATTTATTGTTTGTTTTCTTTTCCACCCTCTCATATCTGCTTTGGTCTGCCTGCCTTTTCAGTGTCTTTTAGTTCAGTCAGTCCCATGGGCTCAAGCTTCATAATTAGTTGATTAGGTGATTCTCACATTGTGGTCCCTTCTTCAGTGTCTGGCCTATGTTCTTGACTTTATATGAGCTTGAGAATCATCACTTATGAATTACTACATTGCATCAGATTAGGTATACCTCCATAGAATGTCTCTATTTCCTAAGACTGTATATCTGTAGATGTTGAAAAGATCGTTTTGTGGTACTATGATTATTTTCCACTCAACTCAGATTTGCTTCCCATTTCCCAAGCTGATTTCCGTAGTGGAAATGTTTGTGCTATTTTACTTATTTGTAAAACTTCTATTGTTCCTGTTACCTACCCAAATTCTTTCCAAGTCCTATTGTTGTTAGGTGCCATTGAGGCAGTACCGACTCATAGCGACCTTATGCACAGTAGAACAAAACACTACCCAATCCTGGGCCAACCTCACTATTGTTGCCACGCTTGAGGCCATTGATGTGCCACTTGGCCAATACATCTCGCTGGGGGTCTTCCTCTTTTTCTCTGACCCTCCACCTTACCAAACATGATATTCTTCTCCAGTGACTGGTTCCTCCTGACAATATGTCCCAAGTATGAGAGAAGAAGTTTGGCCATCCTGGCCTCCAAGGAGCACTCTGGCTGTACTTCTTCAAACACAGATCTTTTGATTCTTTTGGCAGCCCACAGCACTTTCAATATTCTCCTCCAACACCACAACTCAAAAGCATCAATTCTTCTACTATCTTCCTTGTTCACTGTCCTGCTTTCACACGCATCTGAGGTTATTGAAAATACCATGGCTTGGGTCAGGTGCACCTTAGTCTTCAAGCTGACATCTTTGCTCTTCAATACTTTATAAAGGTCTTGTGCAGCAGAGCACCTTAAATTGTCAAGTCAAACCTCATCCATGATGCCTGTTAAGTCTGCTTTCACCACATTAAAGTTCCCATCCTTTAACTTCCTCTTCTTTTGGAGCCATTGTCAAATGGCTAAGCATGTATGGCTCATCGGTGTCTGCTAGTTTGTTAGCTTTCATTCACCATCAGATATTTTCCTTGCTAGGTTTAAGTTCCGTGAGTCAGAGAACACATTTGACTCACTGACCAGCCTATTCCCAAAGCCTAGCACAGTGTCTGTCCCACAGACATAACTCAGTAAATATTCACTAAATGGTTGAAGGATACTATAACTCTATAGATTCTCATTAAATATTTATCAAAATCCGATTACAACTTGAATTTTAAGTGCACACAAAAATGACTTATAATACAATACAATGTGGTGTTGTTGTTTTTAAGTGAATAGTCATTACATTGAAATTAAAATGCAACACTGTGTTGTCAGAAGATCTAATTTATACTAAATAAAGAATTTTCATTGAAATCCTAATAGAATGCAGTTAAATTAAATCTATTCTATGTTGCTCATCTAACTCTTAAAACTTCTTTATTAAGTTTATTCATATTCTGAACTTGGAGAAAAGAGTCTCTCAAGCTTAGGTATACAATAGCCTCCTCTGGCTTGCTTAGATTTTGAAAACTACAACTCTTTCTGCTTAATTTACCTTTCTATTGCACCTAAATTCCCCTCTGTCTTGCAAATAATGTGCTATTTTTCCCAATGAATTCACTTGCCTTTATTCCCATTTTGAATTTTTAATCTTCTCAAGTTTTCTATATTTTTGCCTTCATAGAAACACATTTCCCTGTCACATTTTCTAATATAATCTATCAAAATACTATTAA